ACATAAGCATACTCCCATAAGAGTGTGTTGTACTTTATTATAATGTGTTTTATCCATTATGTTTTTAATGAATTTATCTCCACTTGCCAAAACATTCTGGATACTGTTGCTCCCCTGAAGGTCAGGCAGCCTAAATCAAAGTCAGAGTCATGGCTGAATGACAGCACTCGGGCTGCTCGAAGACAGTGCAGAACAGCAGAATGGAAATGGAAAAAAGACAAGCTACACGTGTCTTATGATATCTAAAAGATAGCTGGAGTAAATATCAGAAATCTGTTTATTTTGCAGGTGTTATTAACAACAACTACCATAAGCCCCGTGTCTTATTTAGTATTTTAAACTCTGTTCATAGCCCTCCCCAATCCAACTGTACAGAAGCTTTTGTTGAAACTTGTGAAGCTTTTTAAAATTTCTTTGTTGATAAGATTTTAACTATTAGAGTAGGGCTGCCACGATTAGTCAACTAGTCACAATTACGTCGACTATCAAAATCGTCGACGACTAATTTAATAGTCGACGCTTCGTTTGAAGCTTTGTAAGATCACAAAAGACGCAGGAATAAGTAGCAGGATTTAAGAGTGTAATAACGGACTGAAACAGAAGATGGCAGCACTGCATGTACAAGGATGCCAGCTGCCGTTAAACCCCGAAGAAGAAGAAGCTGTGTCCCAGAATTCATAGCGCAGCCCAGCTCAGTTTCCAACAATGGCGGCAGCTAGTTAGTTTTAATATTACTCTTATTATTCTTTCTGGGTCACAAAATAAACGTTTAACATATTTTCAGGCGAGAATGTAGCTGTGTAAACCTCAAATATCTGCTCAGTTTATCAAGACACCACATATTTTCAAAAGCGCTCCGACGTTTTCGGAGACGTCTGTTACCCACTAGCTCGATAGCTAGCCGGGGGCTAGGCTAACTAGAGCCGTGAGAACACCGGACTCCCGGCAGATCGTTTTCAAACCCACCGCAGTCTTTCGCTACTCAGGTTAAACATGATATATAAGTCACTTAGATAACTTAAAAATGTTGTTGTTTGGCTTTTTTTAGTATTTTATTTGTTCCTGAGTAAATCGGTTTGGCTGAGATTAAAGTTATAGTTTTTACACAGCTGGATAAACATCAAGCAGGCAGCTGATTATCAGAAGTGTGAGATGCTGAGTATTTACTCCGGTGTCCTGTTATACTTTAGATAGCAAGGAGCAGACGGCTGAGTTTACTCAACTCCATCGAAACAATCTGCAAACTTCATTAAAATTTAATAAACTTCTTTCTCCCTGTCCTATCCCCCAGTCATGTCTGTCCCGTTTGTAGCAACTGAAAATAAAATAAATTCATAATTATAATAAAGGTCAATCAAATGGACCAATATGGCAAGGCCATGATGATTCACTTGGTAAAATAAATCCGCTTGGCATCTTTCTTGGCCTTAAGACAACAATTCTGATGGCTAAAGATCCAAACGGGACACAAAAACAAAAAAAAAATTAATGAACTCTCATCTTGTCTTTATTTTTAGTTAGCACAGACCTTAAACACTTAAAGCTGTAAGCTAATGATAGTTATATAAGAGCAGATGCTGCTGGTGCAATAAGCTGTACGTTTTATGTCCAATGGATGATGATCTGATTAGTCGACTAATCGCAAAAATAATCGGTGACTAGTCGACTATCAAAATAATCGTTTGTGGCAGCCCTATATTAGAGTACACATCTCACCCCCTTCTTATGACCCTTCTATTACGCCTTTGGCAGTTTTAGCCATTTTGACCACGTGTCTCTGTCTTATCTGGGGCAAATTGTTACCAAATCAAGTCTGGCTCTCCCAGTGATGTCCTCCCCCCTCACTTTGTTAAATAAGTTTGGGAGACCATTGGACCTTATATTCAAGGGCTTATAAACAGCAGCCTGACTTTAGGCGACCTGTAACTTTTAAAAAGTCAGTGGTCCAGCCTCTCATTTTTGTGTCATTTCAGATCTATTTTAAAGCTTCCCTTTGTTTCTAAAATTTGGAAGAAAAAAAAGTAGTGTCTTCACAGCTACAGGCTTTTTTAAACAGACAAAACATTTTTGAGGTATTTCACCAGGTTTTAAAGCACTTCACAGCACAGAGTCTGCACTTCCTCCCCCTCAGGCATATTTTAGGATGTCTTAAGGATATCAGAGCATGGCTGGCTCTGAATGTTTTTAATTTTAATGAAAACAAGATTGAGGTCATTATATTTGGGCCGAGTGGCCCTGGTGTCCCACCATCTGACTTGGGTCCTCACCAGAGATGGGCAGTAACGCGTTACTGTAATCCGATTACTTTTTTCAAGTAACGAGTAAAGTAAGGGATTACTATTGCAAAAACAGTAATTAGATTACCGTTACTTTCCCGTAGGAACGCTGCGTTACTGCGTTACTAAAACCGTGATTTTTTTGGGAGAATGTCTCATGACAGTAACGTAAGCGAGTGTGACGTTCGTGACAACAGCTGTGTGCAGATCAACAATGGATCATATATGGAGTGCGGGAGAGAGTATGAGCGTGCAGCGTTTAAAGCGTGGAAGTACTGACCTTACTTTGAGTTTGATTCCATATAAAGTGACAAAAACATTAGTGTCCGTTGTGCGTGGGAAGAAAACTTCTTTTTACAGCGAAAAAAATCCCTAAACCTCCGAGCAAGCACCGAGTAGCTACGACGTAATGGGAAACTCACAGAGAAACTCGCGGATTCTTCAACTGACCGCGGCACACCTGCACCAGGGTAAACCTCCGCCTACCCCACTCCTGCTTTACAGGTGAAAATAGAGCAACAGGACCGCTGAGTCTTTGACTTTATTTATTTTCTGCTGCGTTTTACTTGCATCTATTTGAAAGACTGAGTGTAAACACAAAAACCTATTTTATTGTATGAGCTGGAATGTGCAGAAAATAGGCTTAAATGTTAAACAAATTTCTTCCAGTCAGAGAAAGTTGCATATAATTAAATTTTTGCTTGATGCATGAAGTTAAAAGGTTAAAACTAATAAAACAAGTTTCAAAAAGAGACGTTTCCATTTGATTACATTTTGTATGATGTGTAAATGCCGGCAAAGCCACTTTACTTTGCACTTTTATTTTGAAGAGTACCTTAGCACTTCCTCTTTTATTGTGTCAGACTTCCTGTTCTGTTCTCAGTGAAACGGCACAAACACGTTGCTTCAGAGTGAGTAAAAACCTTTATTTTTTGAAAATACTCATGCAAAACTATGTTTTTTATTTACCTGTCACATGCTATAACTTTGAAAGTTTACACAATATGGTTGAATTCGGTTTTTTGTTTTTTTTTGTATATGCATGTCATTTGTTTGTGGTGTGGAAAGACTGGCTAAGAGATGTGCATGGAGGAGGTTGGCTAGTTGGTTCAGCATGATTAGCACCCTTGGAAGCAGAAAGAGGTTGGTTTAATGATTGCGAATGATTGTTTATGTATTTAAGAGACAGAAAGGTTGTCGTTAATTCATTTTATTAAATGCTGTAACATAAATAGTTTAAAAACTATTGATTTATGTCAATGTCACTATTTGAGTTAATCAAAATAATTTTCTGTAGTAAAATGTGAACATTTCTGCACTTTGTACTTAAATGTTTAATGGTATTTGTTTGCTTTATAGTTTTCACGGTGCCACATTGTCGGTGGTTTAAAGAGGAGAGAATAAAGTTGCATCAGTCGAAGCTCTCTGCGTCACGAGTGGTAATTCCAAGTGGGCAGCTACAGGATGGATTATGCAGAAAAAGTAGAATTGGGCTGAAAGATCTATCGCTTTATCACCTATTCAGGTTGTAAATCGTGTTTTTAAAAAGTAACTAAGTAACTAAGTAATTAATTACCTTTGAAAATAAGTAATCAGTAAAGTAACGGGATTACTTTTTTGGGGAAGTAATCAGTAATTAGTTACTGATTACTTTTTTCAAGTAACTTGACCAACACTGGTCCTCACAGAGCTTTTGCTGTTGTAGGCCCACAAATTATGGAATAAGTTGCCCCCCCATATCAGGCTGGCCCCAACACTTGAAATGTTAAAATCACTTTAAAAACGCACCTTTTTTCCAAGGGGTGGTAGTACCAGAGTCAGCTTGTAGTCCGTTTTAGTTCGCTTTTAATCTTCTTTACTTTGTTAATTTTATTTGTTGTCTATTTTATTCACGTTTTAATATTTACTGATTCATTTGTCATTTTTTCATTTATTTATTTTATTGTTATTTAATTTTCTTTGTCTGTTTACTGTACGGTTTTTAAATTCAAATTTAAATCACTGTTTTTCCCCCTTTTTGCCTGTCCTGTTTGCTTCTTTAGCCATCAGAATATTTTGTCTGAAGGCCAAGAAAGATGCCCAACAGATTTACTTTACCAAGTGGATCATCACGGCCTTGCCATATTGGTCCATTTGATTTACCTTTGTTATTATTATTTATTTATTTTATTTTCAGTAGTTGCAGACATGACTGGGGGATAGGAAAGGGAGAGAGAAAGAAAGAAAGAAAGAAAGAAAGAAAGAAAGTAAGAGCGAAGGAAAGAAAAGAGGGGAGAGCAACATAATAAACACAGCATCATTGCATTAATCTAGCTAAGTGTAAATAACAGTAGATACTAAATAATGAATGTTATTTTGCAGCACGAAAGACCGACTGTGCACAATGTGCTTTGAGGTAGCAGCTAAGAAAAGTTAGTGTGTGTGAACACCAGTTTGTACACCTGTGTGTACACCTGTGTGGATCAGCGCGCTTGTATTCAAAAGGTTGAATACAAGCTGCTAGAGGGTGTAGGGAGCCATAGCCCCGTCCCCCAGGGCATGAAGCAGGCATGGAGGAGATCCAGGCCCCAGACAACCAGAGGCCCCAGAGTGCGAGAGCCCAAGAAGGACCATCGGAGGAGCATCAGTGCCTACCTCCTGGGAAGAGCTGAGAAGAGCCCCAGACGAGGGGTCACCCAGCAGCAGATCTACCAGTAGGCGTTAGCTTTAATAATAACTGTCGTTAGCTGAATACAGCCACAGATGATGTCGTCTTCACTGCCCTGCACTCTCTCTTCATACATGTGAAATATAACAAACTCTCTCTCAGCAGGCTGTTTGTGAAGCTGACTGGCAGACTCGTCACTCTGGTCTTCAGGAACACATTGTGCAACTGGATACTGGACTTCCTGTCAAACAGGCTGCTGTTCAGACTGGTAATCACAGCTCCTCCCCTCTAGGGCCACACTGGAGCCCCCCAGGGTCATGCACTCAGCACCCTCCTGTTCATGTTGAACAGCCATGACTGCACTCACAGACATGGAGAGAATATCTTCATGAAGTTAGAGGACAACACCACCATCATCATTTTGTTGGAGGAAATCAGCCGTGCACAGCTGTGCAGTTTGGTGCAAAGACAACAACTCACTGCTCAGTGTCAACACATGTTGGAGCTAATGGTCAGACAGCAGGAGAGTTTACTTCATGGTGAGAATACATCAGTTACATACTTCACCATGAACAGGTGTTTATTTTATATCTGACTTATTTCAAAGCTTTATAAATTGTTTTGGGATCAAATGAGCAGTAAATAAATTCAACATACCTGAGGACAGATTTCTGCACCATCCAAATCTGCTCTTAGGGTGAAACAATTAAACATTTTCAAGGACTTTTCTGGATGCGGCTTTCGGATGATTTTGTATCCACAGGATTCTACTCTCCATCGTCTACAGAGCGAGAGAATATATATGTTTATATGTGTGTGTGTGTAAAGATGCTACAGGGATCCAATATTGTAATATTACTGTCTGCTGATTTATTTGTTGCACATTGTCCTTCTTATACTGTGAAACATGTAATAACCTGCTGTAGCCCAGGATCACGTGGGATCAGATAAACATGCAGTGTGAGGAAAGCTGTGTTGGTCTGATATATCAACACGTTACAGTTGATTTTCACAGGAACGCCCACTTTCATCAGGAGCGCTCTTGGAGAGAAAATCAGACACTTTTTCCACAACATCTCCACAGTCATCTATGTGAAGGACTGCAAACTTGTCCAATATGTCAGGGACGTCATCTGCACAAGAAAACTTGAATCATAAATGTAATTTATTGTTAAATAATAATGCCTTCATGTCCTCTTACCGATGCAGATCCAGTGTGGCAGGTGAACTTCATTTAACTTCCCAGCAGTGACTGTGACGTCCATCAGAGGACCTGCAGGCATGTATTGTCTGCTCTCCATCCTCTCCATGTGTCCGTTTTTTACATATTTATTTGTTTTTGACTTTATTTGGTTCCTGAGGTGATACCTGATAATCTCTGCACCAGATTCTGCTCATCTTCATTAAAGCCTTTCTGGTCACCTCCACACACTCTCGGCTGTACTTCTCCATCATCACATTCACTACATCCTGAGTGTTTGCTGCTTTCAGTTTGCTACTTGAGATGAGGAGTGAATCTTTCTGCTATTCAATCAGTGACTTGAATTCATCCAAGTGAGCAGCTTCTCAGTCGTCATAGTTACCACCTGGAAAATGAAAAAGTCATTTTGTACCTGCAGGACTGAAGCAGCCTGTCACTTCTTATGCAGGAGGTGCAGGGCCAGCGATGGTGACACAGCAGATCCTGACACGTATCTACACAACTACATGGATGTTTGCTCCTTCATGTTGAAATTAGCGTCACATGTTTAAAAATAGTCATAAAATGATTTTGAGCAACCTTTGAATGAAAGATGTCCAACATCACACATCACAGGTTACATTTTCATATCGTCAGTTATTTCCACCTGCATTTTGTTCCTATGAAGTTACAGCTGAATAATTCAGTTTGTCTTTTAAAGGTAAACTATAAAACTTGCTAAGGTTACAGGTTTCCATAATTTCCTTCAGGATTAATAAAGTATTATCTATTAAGGACAAAACGGGGGGGTTACCACTGTCCCGGGTTCGACTCCAACACCAGACCTTTGTGTGTGGAGTCTGTATGTTCTCTCTGTGTTTGTTGGGTTCTCTCCGAGTACTTCAGCTTCCTCCCACAGTCCAAAGACATGCAGTTAGTGTGGTTTAGTTAACTGGTGATTCTAACCTGCCCATAGGTGTGAATGGTTGTCTGTCTCTCTGTAGTAGACTGCCGTCCAGGGTGTACCCCGCCTCTCGCCCTGTGGTAGCTGGGATAGGCTAATAAGGATAATGGATGGGTGGAAAATGTAAACTGGGTTAAATGATTAAGATAAACCTCACTGACACTTGTTCTTCGTGCTGCTGGATTAAAATGGAGTTGATGAGTCGACGCTGATCAGCCTTTGTAGAACTGAACGCTCCAGAAAGGCTGGAGTTTAAATGAACCAACGAACCAGAAAACAAGGGTAAAAAGGAGTCTTTAATAACAATTACACCATATAAAAATTTGTACGTACAAGTCAAAATATAAGGACACATTTAGGAACAGTCTGAGTTTCTTCCTTAGACGAATAAAGTCCTCAGAGTCAGGAAACATCCAGTTCTGTGTAAATAAAGCCGTCCGATCCCGGTCTGACATTTCTGATGTTTGTAACGTTTCTTATTGACTGCTTCCATCATTTTAATGTACTTTTAGTCATTCATTTAACTATTCCTCATTCTTACTGTTATTTATGTGTTGATCTTTCTCATTTTGTGATATTTCAGTTTGACTGACTGATGCTGCAAATCAAAATGATCCTGTAGGAAAATAAAGACTGACCTGAACATCTCATCTCTTAAAATACAAAAGCACAGCAATCATCTTACTGAGTGATCTTCATTGTACATTGTTTCATTGTTTTTAGGCCGCTTCATTCCAGCAAAAGTTTCACCGTGCGTATAAACATGAAAGACGTGTTTTTACAGATTTTAAAATGTTAAAAATTGAACGAGTTTCTGACAGTAAATAGTTAATAGACACCAATGTTGCTCCCTGATGTATCCGAAAAAATATTTTATTGATAAAGAACAATTGTATTTATGTTTCTATATTTAGTAGAAAGCCAATATAAAATGTTTAGTGACGTGCTTAAAAGGGAATTAAAAAACACAAAACAATGATTAAAGCAGGATATTAAAGATTAAAAAGTATAAAATTCTCCAGTTTATCTTCAAAGCAGTCGTCAAAACTTCTTAAAATGTGAGAAACATGGCAGTAACAGATGCAGGTCATGATGTTCCTCAGTAACTTCTAACCTTGGAAACTTTTCTCATTCAGGCTTCACTCCAAACCAGACTGAGCATCGACCACAAGAACAAAAGACAGAAGATAACAGAGTTCATATGGTGTTAATGTAAAATTATTCTGGAAGACTTTTCTTTATGTGGCACATTTATACTGTGATATGGATTTATCGTCTTCAACAAAATGAGAATCATAAAGCTGTTCATGATATTTTTGTATGTAATTATACATATAATGCTCATTTTCAGGTTAATATTTTTAATTTTGGACTGTACTCGAGTAGCTTTGTCTGAGTCACAGTTCAAAATCATCCTCATTTTTCTTATACTTGGTTTGGTTGTAGCGCCTCATCCTCTCTGAAACAAGCTTCTTTTTTACTCCTCTCCCTTTAAGGCAACTTTGTTCTTATTGGCTGTTTCCCACAAACAGAAGGTTTGAGGGACAAGTGGGTGGAGCTTCTGTGATAAGGACCAGAACTGGAGATCAGCAGTATTAGGATATCGCCCCTCAATGACATCACACATTACAGAAGTTAAAAAAACCACATAAACCTGAGTGTTTGTCTCACAGTGAGTATCTGTAAACATGATGATCTCATTATCGTAAATTTGAAAGTGTATAAATGAAAACAAAGAAAAGCACAACAAATGCCGTCTTTTTACAAACTGCTGCTAGAAACAAACAGAATGTGTTTCTATGAAAGAAGGAAATGAAATCACTGTCAGATCATTTCTACACGTTTAAACCTGAAATAATTCTGCAGAAAATAAAAACATGAGAACAGAAAATTAAAGAGAGAAAGTTAAAATAAAATGAAAAGATTAAATATTAAAATAAAAAAATGCTTCAAAAATCTTGATCTCATCCTCATGTTTGCATCAACCTACGAACACGAACACACACACACACACACACACACACACACACACACACACAGTAATTTTCAAATAGATGTTATTTCCTGTATTTTAACCTCAAATCTGCTCCTACATTATAAACTCTCCCTCATGTCAGAGTCAGTTGGACAGTCAGTCAGACTCTCTGCTACTTTCCATACTACAATCATGTAGCAGCACCACCCTCACCCTGGAAGAGCACGAGGTGAGGCGCATGCTGCAGGCTGTTAACCCGAGGAAGGCGGCGGGTCCTGATGGTGTGCCAGGTCGAATATTGAGGGATTGTGCAGGACAGCTGGCTGGGATCTTCACCAGGATTTTCAACAAATCCCTCGCACAGGCAACTGTCCCACTCTGCCTGAAGTCCTCCACCATAGTCCCCTTGCCTAAGAAGCCCCACATCACCGGCCTGAATGACTACAGACCGGTGGCACTCACCCCAGTGGTAATGAAATGCTTTGAGAAGCTGGTCCGCAGACACATCACAGCAGCCCTGCCCCGCAGCCTGGATCCACACCAGTTTGCCTACAGAGCAAACCGATCCACGGAAGACGCTGTAGCCACAGCACTCCATGCTGCATTAACTCACCTGGAAGAGCATGGTAGCTATGTGCGGATGCTCTTCGTGGATTACTGCTCAGCTTTTAACACCATCCTTCCACACAAACTGGTGGCCAAGCTACAAGACCTGGGGCTTCCAGACAGCACCTGCATGTGGATCAACAGCTTCCTCTCGGGCCGTAGACAGAGAGTCAGAGTTGGCCATCACACATCCTCAGCCCTGAGTCTCAGCACTGGCTCACCCCAGGGCTGTGTGCTCAGTCCACTGCTCTACTCTCTCTACACACACGACTGCACTCCTCGCCACCACAGCAACATCTTTGTGAAATTTGCAGATGACACCACAGTGGTGGGGCTCATTTCCAAGGGAGACGAGTCTACGTACAGAGACGAGGTGGAGCAGCTGACGTCATGGTGTAAGGCCAATAACCTCCTCCTCAACACTTCAAAAACCAAAGAACTCATAATAGACTTCAGAAGGAAAAAGGCAGAGATCCAACCACTATTCATAAATGGGGACTGTGTAGAAAGGGTGGCAAGCTTCCGCTTCCTGGGAGTCAATATAGAGGAGAACCTTTCCTGGAGTGTGAACACCTCCGAGCTGCTGAAAAAGGCCCAACAGAGACTGTACTTCCTGAGAATTCTCAGGAGGAATAACATCACACAGAGACTGCTGGTGTCCTTCTACAGAGCCACCATTGAGAGTGTTCTAACTTACTGCATATGCATCTGGTACACTAGCTGCACAGGGGCTCAGAGGAAAGCACTCCAAGGGATCATTAACACCGCCCAAAAGATCACTGGCTGCCCTCTCCCCACACTGGAAGTTCTACACAACGCCCACTGTTTTAAAAAGGCCCAAAACATCATAAAAGACACCTCACATCCTGGCCACTCCCTGTTCGAACTGTTGCCCTCAGGCAGACGGTACAGGGCAATCAGAGCAAGGACTAATAGACTCAAACACAGCTGTTATCCAACTGCAATAACACATCTGAATACTACAAAAAAAATGTCCATCACGCCACTCTTGTGTTAATCTATGCACGGTCTGAAGCATGTGTGTGGGAATGTATGTGAATGTTTTACTGTTATATCTTATTAGTATTTTAAGTATTCTATCTATTTATTGAATTTTATTGTTTTATTTATATTTTGATATTGCTAGGGATGATGCAATGATCGGGGACCATTCTTAATTTCGTTGTTCTCATGACAATGACAATAAAGTTTCTGATTCTGATTCTGATTCTGATGTAGTGCACTGAAAATAAATTCAGAAGCTACAAATCTAACTATACAAAAGTATTTTGGATTAAGTAAAATATTCATAAAATCAATGATGCCATTTTGATTGTTACCTTTGCATCATGAGCTGCTGTCTGATAACTTCTGCACCAGATCATTTCTGTTAATTTTCCTAAAAACCTTCTTGGTCACCTCCCCAGACTTTTCTGTGTAGGTCTGCACCACCAGGTCCACCAGGTCACAGGTGCTGGCCTTCTCCAGTCGGCTCTCTGGGATGGGTTGGAGCTCCACCAAAACATCACGGTCCCGCAGGAACCACTTGAACTTTTCAAGCTCCTCCTTTTTCAGATCTTCCAACATTTCCAAAAGCTTCTCTCTGTCTGAGTGGACTGTTAATGCCTGAGAACAAATGAGGAGATATAATTTGATATCAATCAGTTATCCAAAAATAAAATTATGCATAACAACCATCCAATTCAATCACGAGGGGGTTTTATTCAGTTTTACATTCTGAATTATGTTTAACCTGCATTTTAATGACTTAAAGCTTTTGTGTGTAAAGTCAGGCATTACTCACCTTTGGCATCTGTGCTGCAGCATCACTGTCCCACTGTAACTTTAGCTTTTTATGCTCTTCTTCTTCTTCTGGATCCTCATCGTACCTCTTTCTGTTGGATTTGAACAATGCCTGGTAAAGTTAAAGCAAAGAAAGGAATATGATTAGATCAGTGATTAGTTAGTTAAGTGTAAGAACCATGACATTTAAACATTTTTAACACAGCAGTTAAAATATTGCTTTTAAAAAATGTAAATCTTATGAATGAAGCTGTGTTGTGTAAAGTCAGAATAAGTTTCTTACTCACTTTCCTTCCCCGTGCAGGAGGATGTTTATCCACCGAGTGTTTCTCTGAGAAAGAAGAAAGATGAAACATAAATATTGATTGATTTGATTCATGAAGAGTTTTCCGATGGAGTGGAGTGTGTTTAATGTGCCAGGTTAAATATGCTATGAAAACATCAGAATAAGACTAGCAGCAGATATCTAACATTAATGGACTCAGATAAAGTGACCAGGCCCCGCCCACTTTGGAGCCATTAGAACAGCCAAATAAGGACCTACAGTAGTCCAGCCTAGAAGGAATAAAATACATTAACTGATTTTTCAGTATCACTCTGTGTGGTAGGACTCGACTTAAGCGGTCAAAGAAGTGCAGGAGACTGATGCTGTCCAGTGTAGCAAGTGATTTATTCACCATTCTGTGGCCCAAGAATATTTACAAAGAAACAAATAAGAAACTCAACTCTATTATAAACTCAATTCAAATAAACATAACTGAACTTAAATCAACGGAAATTAAGGTCAAACTGCACACAGCTACACTGACCTGAACCCTTCTTCTGAAACACCTGAGTTCGTCTGCTTAAATAGTCCCCTTAATCAAACACTTTCTCCTCTGGACTATTCCATTCAGTAGGTAGGTGAGATGAACATGATTATATTCATCCTCTACTACTCCTCTTGACTGGCAACATAAACTCTGGTGTAATCAATACATATCACAACATTAAATCTATTTCTTTATAAACCCTTTAAAATCAACTTTATTAAATTATAAGAATTCTTCCCCTCCTGCCCTTGGTCTCTTCCTGTGACCTCAGATGAACCCAGAAGGTATAAAGCAGGAAGTAGAACTACATTTCCTCCTTTTGCTTCTGGAAGACAGGTAGGTAAAGGTAAGTTCAAACAATACAAATTAACAGTTGAAATAAATAACATGTTAACTTAACAAACTTGCATGAATTGATTTAAACCAAGATGTTATATTATATAATCTGTAAAAGTGCAGAACATAAACAAACCCGGGATAGTAGATGTTTGCCTATTGCAGATTACATGTGAAATATGGTTAAATCAAAACAAGAATGTTAACTAAGAATGTAGACAAATGGTCTTCTCACCCACTTTGTCACACTCTGAGACAAAAAGTTTCTAATTTTATTCATAATCATCTGAATTTTTAATCTGGGCATTAAAGGATGAATCGTGGTCAGCAGGTTCCTCTGTCTTTGGCTGCATCCACACATATAAGGCTCATTATTGTAAACTTTGCATATCGTTTCTTAATGGTTTGTGTTATATCACCACCTTTTGTTATGGCAATGATCTTTTAAAATGTATTTGATGCACATTTTAGTGTGGAGGGAGATATTTTTTGAAATGAGCCCAGAAAAATCCCTGTTTTGAAAAACAAAGGGTGAATGGGCGGTTCTTATTTAGTACTTTTCTACCAGATGTCTCATTCATCCATTCATACAAACACTTTTTCTGGGCTTTCTATCTCAAATTCACACTCCAGTGAGCCGGGTTCAATGTTCTGCCAAAGGATACTGAATCCAGACTGCAGCAGCCCTGAATTGAACCACCAACCTTCTTGATAACCATGTGCACATCCTTTGTCCCGTTTTCATTTTACTTCCTGTTTTATTTTCAAAGCAGGGTTGTTCCTTTTCCTGTCTGCATTCATGTCTATGATTAAGTTACAAGTGCTTTAGTATCCCTCTCCATGGTGTGTATTTAGTCTGTGCATTTTCACTCTCCCTGGTCATTTTCTCATCGGCTTTAACTCCTGTTGTCTCCCTGCATCAGCTTTTCCTTCTTGTTTTGGATTCTGTGGTCATTTTTTTTTTGCTTCTATCGCAGTGGTTTTCATTCCAGTTTCACTCTATTTTTAGTTTTGAGTAAAGTCTAAGTGTGTGCAGTTCATCTTCAGTAAGGCAACAACTATGAGTTTTTTCTTGAATACTAAAAGTAATTTACTGAAAAGATAGAACAGTTAATATCTGTGAACCTACCAGCTGCCAACGTGCCGACACCAGCTGCTCCCCTTGAGGATCCTGCAGCTGTGAAACATTGAGGAAAATTTACTGTAAGAAGTTAATTGGTTTAAACCACGTTTAATGTAAGGAACAAATGGAATATGGACGCTTGATGTCATTGTTTAATGTATCAGAGTTTAATAATGAAGGTTATGGTCAAACCATAATCATGTAAAAAAAACAACATATCAAGTAATACGTCATATGAGAGGGCATGGAAAGAGATGTACAACACACTTTGCATTTTTTCAGTACATCATCACAATGATGCCATAAAGTTTCTTCATGAAGTTAGAAGATAACACAACCATCATCACTCTGTTGGAGGAAATCAGCTGTTCAGGAAAAAGCCTGGGACTCACAAACCCCTCCAGCATGATAAGGAAGTGATTCACAGAGGGCTGAATACATGAATATTATATTTATCTCTGTAAAGAAAGAAATATAAGCAGGATTGAGTTTAGTGACTCGCTGCCACCGAGAGCTGAGAGACTGAGAGCTCCTCCTTTAGAATGAAAACTTGAAGACAGAACAAAGTATGTAAGCTAACGAAAAGTAAAATTGTGGCGGGAAAAAGGTGTGATTGACTGTTCACTAGGATTCATCAGCGTTCTATGTGTCACATTATATAAAACCACAGAACAGGTAATATTGATGAACCTACCAGCCGACAGAGAGCTGACAGCAGCTGCTCCCACTGAGGATCCTGCAGCTGTGAAACATTGAGGAAAATTTACTTTAAGAAGTTAATTGATCTGCCATCATAACAGGAAACTAATACAAATGTCTAATAGAAACACAGATTGTAGTTCCTTTGCTTTTCTAATTCTGATCTATTTGACTGCACTAGTGATAATTTCATTTGTTGGGCTAGTCAGTTAGTTATATTGCTAGAGACAGAAGGGCAGGCATTCAGACAAAGGCAGTTACAGGGAGGCGAGTCTGATTTCTGGTGATTACTACTAGGGTAATACTCTACAGTAAAACAGTAAAACAGACCCCAAAGCTTTAAACCAGTCCAGTATCTCCTGTATAAGGGGTCATCTCAGCTCTAACACAACATAAATACTTATTATATATATGTAATATATGTAATTCTCTAACCTGCAACGTGGCCAGAAACTGGATGACACGTTTAATGTAAGGAACAAATGGAATATGGACGCTTGATGTCATTGTTTGATGTATCAGAGTTTAATAATGAGCTGTGTCATCTGATTAAACAGGTGTAGCCGTCATGTCTGAGATTTGGTTTCAGACCATTTCAATGCAATTTCAGAATAATGTTAAAAAATATGTTTTGAAATCTGGAATAAGCTACGTTCAACTGCGCCCTGCCATACGGGGTCACTGCAGATGTTTGATTTGGCAGTTTTACAGCCGATACCCTTCCTGACATAACACAAAGGGGGATTTGTGCCTCTGACTGGAATCAAACCAGCATCCTTTCCTCTCCAAGTAAACCATACTTCTGTTCTATGGAGCTCTTTTCTAAAACCTTTCTGTAATAAATGGTGCCATTTTTGTTTCTTATCACAAGCTGATACCTAACAGCATCAGCTCCAGATCATCCTGTCTGTCTGTGCTAGTTTGTTCTTTGTCCCTCCTTCAGTTTTCCTTTACTAATGTTTGGTGTTTTTACTGGTTCTCCCTCCGTCTCTCGTCATCTGTGTCATCTTCTTCATATTTCTCTGACTCTGTTTTGTTCTTCTTTTTTTGTTCTTGTACTTTTTGCCATCTCTGTGAAGCACTTCCTGTCCCTTTGAACGTTTTGATTAAAGAGAGTGAGCATGTAATCGCTTCTGTTTGGTTGGGTTGTCTATTAGCAGTCTAGCATCCACAGTTTTCAGGATAACTGTCATGGTCCTGGGCCGGGTTGGCCCAGTATTCTTAGTTCTCTTGTATTTTTGTATTCAGTTCCCTGTTTAGGTTCTGTTTCCTGAGTTGCCCTGTTATGTTGTTCCCTGTGTGCTTTCCCTTTGTGACTCTCACCCCTTGTGTGCCCCTCTATGTATTCATGAGCCCTTGTCCCCTTTCGTGTTTTATTCCATGTTTTCCCCAGCCTGTTATGTCTGTGTTCTCCCCGTGCTCTCTCCTCCTGTCTGAACCTCTGTGTACTTCCTGTTTGACTCTGCCCGGCTCCCGTCAGTGTTATGTTCACCCCGCCCTGTCTCGTTATGGTTATCTGTGTCAGCTGTGTTCCCCGTGTGTTCCCACTTTCCTCGTTAACCCTCTGTGTATTTCTGTCTGCGTCTCCCTCTGTTCGGCGTCGCGTTCTCCCTCATGTTGTGTGTTATTCTCCCCGTGGTTCCTGGTACATCTCATGTTTAGTTTTTCCAGTTTAGTTCAGTACTGTTTTGTGTTTCACCTTTAAGCCAGCATTAAAACTGTGATCTTTAAGTTTATCCCCGTGTCTGTGAGTCTGCATCTTGGGTCCTTCTCCTGCCTGCCACACAACGAATCATGACAATAACATTTTCAGATTCTGGGTGATGGTAGATACTGAGAACAGCTCGAACTGATTTAATTTTGGTGAAATTTGGGTCAAGACCACACTGAATGTGAAAATCGGTAAAAAAAAAAGAAAAGAAAAAAAAATCATTTTTTTATGGATTTTTAAACTTCACAACAATATGCTCGGCTTTGGGGAACATGAGTACTTATAACCTTACAACATATAACCTTGATCATCACTGGTAACTTTGACCTTGGACGCTAACAATGAAGGCTAAGGTCAAACCATAATCAAGTAAAAAAACAAAAGTCAATATCCAGTAATACGACATGTGAGCAGCATGGAAGGAGATGTGCAACACACTTTTTATTTTTCAGTTCACAATGATGCCATAAAGTTTTGAAGGCTTATAGAAGCCAAAGATTTCAGCCAATTCTGCTCCAATCACATGGGTGAAGATGATCAAATACACCATCTTAGTATGTAATACTTCAAGGTCAAAGGTCAGGGTCATGCCATACAGGACAAAGCTTCAGTTTCAATTTAATCATCTCTAAAATTTAAAGCAACATCTTAGTCATTGGGGAACATAAGCACAGTTAGTATTGATCAGTTTTCTGTTTCATTATATAAAACTGAGTTAATATTGATGAAGCTACCAGCCGACTGAGAGCTGACAGCAGCTGCTCCCACTGAGGATCCTGCAGCTGTTAAAAATAACAAGGAAAGTTTTTAATTTCTTAACAAATGGCAGTGACAGTGGCAGAGAAAAGGACATTAAAGAAACTGATGGACAATGCTGGGCATCCTCTGCACACGGCCATAAACAACCAGAAGAGTCTATTCAGTGACAGGTTGCTTCTCCCCAAGACAAGAACCAACAGACTTAAAAACTCCTTTGTCCCACACGCCATCAGACTGTTTAACTCCTCTCTGGAGGGGAGAGGGAGGGGAAACAGGAGGACAAAGGAGGGGGGAACAACTAAGCTGTAGTGCCTCTTCACCTCACTGTACAATACCTTGTGCAATACTTTTTGTAAATAGTCAACAGTGCAATAGACTCAATACTTGAAATGTGCAATTCACTTGTATTTTTATTTTTTATTCCTATTTATTCTATTTATCCCCTTTGTATATTTTATTTATATTTGTCTCTGTATTTATATGTGTGTGTGTGTGTGTGTGTGTGTGTGTGTGTGTGTGTGTGTGTGTGTGTGTGTGTGTGTATATATATATATACTGTTATATATAACTGTTATATATATATATATAACAGTTCTGTAACTGTAACTTCGGTCGTTGCTGTGCTTTTTTTGGAAGTCGAATTTCCCAGAGGAACCCACCCGAGGGATTAATAAAGTTCTATCTTATCTTATCTTATCTTATCTTATCTTATCTTATCTTAAATGTTCAAACTTCTTAACTTTCATTATGCTAGCAAACTGAAACATTAGAGACTCAGTGCCACCAAATTAAAACAATTAAATAACTACACCAAAGAATATTCCACTAAACTCTGGTCTACTTAAAAAACAAAAAAAGAAGAATAAAATCATTCATTTATAATCTGAGTAAAAGGTTCGTCTAAATGCTCCTTTCGTGTGATATCTTACCTTCAGCTTGACCAGACTCTGGATGGTCATCTGGAATTCAAGGAAAATCAAAATATGGATACTTGACATTAGAGTTAAATATGAAAGTTTCATCTGAATAAAGCTGAGTATTCAAGCAGCTGGTTGCCATGGGAACCCATTCTCTGAAACGCTCTATGCACTGTTGTTGAGCTAATCTGAAGGCCACGTGAAGTTTGTAGCGACTGACTCTGCAGAAAGTTGGAGGCCTCTGTGATTTTACGTGGCCCGTCACTTTGTGGCTGATTGGCTGTCGTTCTTTGTTATAATACCACTAACAGCTGACTGTATGTATAATATTCTGTAACAAGGGAATTTCACCACAGCACTAATGTTGTGGATTTTCTATGATATATATGACATATGTACCTGTACACACTGGACATATACTCACATATGTAATCGTATATACTTCTATATACTAAATATATACTTATACTGGAGTATTTTTTTTCTACTCGTTCAAAATCACAAGACCCACATATTTAGGTCAAAGATTATCTTCAATTATATTAATGAAGTTTGTGCCCTTTATTGTACAAACACATGCTGATCAATACTGTTTGAAAATGTACTAGTTAGGATCAATAAGTAACCTTTGACTGTGTTATGGCCAACGGTGACTGGTTCAAACAAAGGTTTCTTTGGCACTGCTAAAGTATGCGCATAGGACACTTTCTCTGCGTTTCTCTGTAGCGCCTCACGGTGTGTCCAGCCCTTTCGATGCCTATACGGCAAACAAACCTGCCCCCTGTGCGTGAAGCTGGGATTCTGGTTCTCACCTCAGCCACCAGAAGGCAAGAAAAACCTTTACTCGGCATAGAAAGCAGCTTACGTCTGGCATGCGTACCTGACAAAATTGTCAAATTGATTAACTGTTAACTGCCGTTTTCTCATCAAACTGACAAAGTGAGCCAATTCAATGATGGATGTAAAAGTTATGGGGCAGGGTCAGAAAGTTATGCATCATACGTGGAAGATGAAAAGAAAGAACAAAGGATGAAAGAGTACCCAACGGCAGGCGGAGGGGTCACTGATCCCATATAAGAGGAGGGTCGATATGCCCCGCTCTGCTGCTTCTTCCCTGTCTGTCTGTTGTGTGTCTGTGCTGTTTGTGCTTTGAGGCTCTACACTCCGGGGTTGCTTCGCTTTGCTTGTTCACTTTTTCTGTCATCCTGGTTTATTGTACTCATTTCTGCTGTTCATATGACACTGTTTAATAAACTCTGTTCTAAGAATTCTACTCTTTTCCAGAGGATCTTTTTGAGTGATTGGATTTTAACTGGATCTGAAAAGCTGGACGTCCACAGCATTGGTGGGATAAGGTTATCATACTGGCTTCAAAATGTGCGACTCGACACTTGTTGCACAGGTGGCGTCTTATCACAGGACCACTGAACTGCTGAGAACGAGTGATTCTTTCACATGTTTGTAGAAGAGTCTGCATGTCTTAGTGCTGATTTTATACACCTGAGGCCATGGAAGCGATTTTAACACATGAATGAAAGGATGTGGATGAGCGAGTGAATACTTTTGGAAACATCGTGTCAATCAAACTGCTGCAGACTCTTTTAAGTTTGATGGAAAAAAAACATCTTACATTTGACATTATATGACATACAGTATTTCTTATATTAGTAACAGTGTGGGTAATATTGCTTCATAACCACTGACCTGCTTGAATTTCACATTTCCATAGTGGCTCATCAGCTGGTTCACCATCAGCTGGGTGAGTGTGCACCAGTCTAAGTATGAGTTCACTGCCTGGATTCTTAACGTACACCTCATAGAAGTTTTGCCTATTGTATCTGAGGGTTAACTCCTGTGTTTGAAAAAAAACAAACAAAGGAACTTTAAAATACCTCTGTGAGCACAAACACACACACACACACACACACACACACACACACGCACACACACACACACACGCGTATAACGCCCCTGCTTGTGCCATCTTTTTGATTGATGGCCCCAGCCTTGACCTTTTGACCCTACCGGAAGTACTCCGGAAGTGACTAATCGAATCCAGATGTGTGTAATATGATCCATAAGCGCGACGAATTGCATCCTGTGGGGGAGGGGGGTACTCTGGAAGTGTCTAATGGATTCCATATTACACACATCTGGATTCGATTAGTCACTTCCGGAGTACTTCCGGTAGGGTCAAAAGGTCAAGAGTGGGGCCATCAATCAAAAAGATGGCACAGGCAGGGGTGTTATACTCTCTCACATGTAGCACAAACTTTACCTTTGGTTGAATTTTTGCACTTGTGTTGTCGGCTTTGAGGCTGAAAGTACGCTCAGGTTGCAGGTACTTGTCTGGGTGTGGTTTCTTGATTCTTTTGTATCCATCTGAGGATTCTTCCTTGTCTATTCCCTGTTATCAGATGATATCAGTCATCAGCAGCTGAAGATTTTAAAATTCAGTTTGGATTTAAAATCGCAAAATAAATTCATGATGAACTCTTAGGATGATGATCATTTTAGCTTATTACACTTTTATCATTGAGTTTGCAGTCAGTATGATGTCATATTTAAAAATAATGGTCAGTGTGCCCAGATAATATTTTTCACCTTGTGTCTAGTATAAAATATAAAAGCAATCGTACTGTGACTTTCTTTGCCTGCACTGATCCTAATACATTGAATCTGTTCAGTTACCTGTTCCAGAGCAGGATCCTGTCGGATTGGATAGACGTGGAGTTTAAGAAATGATGTGTTGGGTTTATAGTACATCAACGTGTAACAGCTGATTTTCAAAGGAAAGAATAAACGTATCAGAGCCCCTATTAGAGAGAAATGTGGTTCAGTTAACTTGACATGTGTTGGTGTGACCTCAGACACTGTTTCCACAACATCTCCACAGTCATCTATGTGAAGGACTGCAAACGTGTCCAATATGTCAGGGATGTCATCTGCAGGAGAACACAACAACACAAACATGGTGAGAAGAACAGTTTATAACAGTTTGTGCGCTCACTGTCAGAAATGTCAAACATCTGAAAGTCTTCCTTCATGTCCTCTTACCGATGCAGATCCAGTGTGGCAGGTGAACTTCATTTAACTTCCCAGCAGTGACTGTGACGTCCATCAGAGGACCTGCAGGCATGTATTGTCTGCTCTCCATCCTCTCCATGTGTCCCTCCCAAGATCTAAACTGGTACTGAAAGCTGGTCTTTCCCTTACAGACCCAGCGCAAGCCTGAGACTCTGCATTCAAAGTGTCCTGCTGCAGACTGAAGGCTGAAACAGGAATTAAATACACACTCATGAAGGAACAACAGAGTGAATGGAAACACAGAGAGTAGTCGTGTGAATCGGATGCAAAATGAAGAATTTCCTCTGGGAAAGGGATGGGTATCGAAACCCGGTTCTTGTTGAGAACCGGTTCCCACTGTTTCAGTTCCTTGGAATTGTTTGCCATTTTTGCAAACGATTCCCTTATCGATTCCAGTCGCCCCGAATGACGTCACCACGTTGCGGAGCGTCATTTACCTGGCAGGAAACACGGCGCGTAAGCGGCTCAAACGCTCAAAAGTTTGGTTATACTTTACGAGAACGGATGACAACAGGGCAACTTGCAATACTTGCAAAGTAGATGTTTCATTTAAGGGAGGAAACACTACGAATATGCAAAAGCATTTGCTCACAAAACACGCGATGACCTTAAATGAATGTCGTGTTTTTAATTCCGCTCCGGACTCGTGAATCTCAACCCAGCAGCAGCGGTAACGTTTGCACTTCCTCTCCCGTTAATGCAGCAGGTAAATAATCAACTAACAGTGCATATTATGTTAGTGCGATCTGCCTTATTACAAACCTGCCATTACTGTGCATTTAGTGACCATGATGAGAGAGACAGAGTCTGGCTCAGATGCTGCCAGTTCTCGCTGCAGTCTGCCGGTAGCGTCTCCTTTCAGGCAGGATAGATGAATGTCACCGAGCAGAGACTCAGTTTGTGGTCAAAGGCTTGCACCCATTTGCCACAGCAGATGATTTTCAGTAAGTGAATGTGTTTAATTGTAGGCAGGGACATTACTGGATATTCTTGTGTTATTGCTACAGAATGATTTATGTTACACTTTGTTATTGCTACAGAAGAATATTTATTTTATTATTTTACATTTACAATGTTTTTCCTGGGGACCCTGTGACACCCATTGAAGAGCCGTAGGCTGGATCGCTTAAGATCTCTCTGCTGGGTTTGTAAGGCCATGTTACTCCTCAATTTCTATTTTGTTCAAAGAGAAGACATAAAACAAAGTTCTGAGCTAATCGACCTTAGTGTTCTCCTTTTTAAAAAAGAATCGATGAAGAATCGAATCGTTAAACAGAATCGAAAATGGAATCGGAATCGTGAAAATCTTATCAATACCCATCCCTATCTGGGAATAAATCCAAAGCTGAACTGTTTCCTGTAGTTCCAGTTTGCTGTGCTGCAGCATTCAGGAAGTTGATTTACCTGTAAGTTGGAGCCTCGTCTGCATCTGTACTGTTCACCTCAGGTTCAAGTTTAGTCCAATCACTGCAGCCCTGCTGCAGAGGACAGTCTCTTTAGTCAATAAGTACACATGTTTATAAAGAAAGAAACTTCAGGAATAAATGGATGAATGGAAGGGATTACCGTCAGGCTCTGACAACCTTCAAGCTCTGAACTTCTTTCAGTTTTTCGTCCTTGTTGAGACACAAAGAATTCAAATGAATGATGTTATGCTGACATATAAAATCATCCTCTAACTGTCCACATGTTTGCTGTTTGATCACTTTATGCTGTGCAGTGCTGCTTCAACATCAGAACAACATGTTCAGCAGGACGTGCAGCTGAGTGACGTCTAAGATGATCAAAAGCTGATGAATTCAAATATTCTCACCAGTGATGTCAGAACAAGACAGAGACAGAGAGAAAGGTTGGATTCAGCTCTGATGATTTATGCAAAGTTATTTTTGGACGTCTGTTGTTTCCTGTTTCTTTTAATGTTTGTTGATTAGAAGTTGTTTAAAGAAGTTTATTGTAAATTATGAAAATCTGTTTATTAAACTTTGTTTGGTCTCACCTGAGCTGCTCTCTGACAGCCTCAGCATCAGATCAGGTCTGTTCATGTCTGTTAAAACCTCCATGGTCGCCTCCACAGACTGATGACCAAGTTTATCCACCATCAGATTCACAAGGTCTTCTGTCCTGTTTGGATACCGGTACCTCACCATTTGTGGCAGGCTCATCTTAAAGCACGTGAACGGCAGCAACTGCTTGAATTTCTTTAGATCCTTTTGACTGAATTCATTCAGTGTTTCCAAGAGAATCTGTCTGACAGCTTCCTGTTCTTTTTTCTGTAAAACCAAAACAATGTATTAAGTTACTGTATAATATCTATTAATATTAAAGATTTCTTAAAGATTTTAAAGAGGTCTTCATTAATATTTATATGTTTTAGAATAATCACTGAAGAGACAGCTGGCGGTTTTGACATTTAATTTTATGTATTTATGAACTGCAAAATTTCAAGTTTCATAAGAAAACATTATTTCATTTCTATCAATACTAAAAACTATTTTTTGTAAAAGCTGAGTTAAAGTCACACTCACTCTCTTCCACAGTGCAGCTCCATGTTCATCCACAGAGTGTTTCTCTGAGGAGGAAAGACATTTACCATCAACTCTGAGGATTCAAACATCATCACACATCCAAGTAGAATCAGCCTTCAGACGACACAGATGATTTAAAAGAGAAAATCATGTGAAACTAAATAAAATGACACAAGAACCCAACAAAGAAACCCTCCATCCTGTCCAACCAAAGTAACTGGGGGTTCCCAGCTGTGATAATGAGAGAGGGTACACCTGTCCACCTCAGGTTTTAAACAGACAGACAACCTTTCACACCCACATTTAATTTAGAACCAGCAATAAAGCCAACAAGCATGTGTTTGGACTGGAAACCAGAGCACTCTGAGGAAAAGCATGCAGGCACAGGGAGAACATGCAAACTCCACACAGAAAGGTTCCAGCCAACCAGGAGGCTCAAACACACAACCTTCATGCTGTGAGGACACAGTGCTAACCACTGCACCACCATGACACCACCAACACAAAAACCTGTTGATGACACAGAGTTTACACTCATGCATGTTGGTCTTACCTCTGGATGCTGAGCTGCTCTCTGGTAACTTCTGCACCAGATCAGTTCTGTTCATGTGCATGAAAACGTCTCTGGTCACCTCCACAGACTGATGACCACGTTCATCCACCATCAGATTCACTACATCTGCTCTGTCTGATCGCCTCAACCTATATGAGAAGAATGACAGATTCCTCCAAGGAAGGATCGTCTGCAGGATCCTCTTAAACTTCTTGAGCTCCTCATCACTCAAATCATTCAAAGTTTCTAAAAGCAGATGTTTAACAGCTGCCATTGTTGCCGCCTGGAACAATAAACACAATCACGGGGTCACATATTTATTTAGCCAAACACAAGCATCTATTTACTAGTTGTGGTACGTTTATGAAAAAAATGAAGAAAATATAAAACTGTGATCCACTTTTATGGGTTTGAATACTTTTTCTTTACAGGCTGCAGTTCTTCTCTCACTGTGCAGATAAAAACTGAAATATATCCATCAAGAATCTTTCCCTGATTTCACATCATCTTTCATTCTTTATTAATATTTGTAAGTAGAATAAAGTTTCCTGTTTAATCTGAAAGTGTTTGATGTTTTCAGATTTCTCTGTCCTGTTGAAGAGTCAGGACAAATGTACATGCTGACACTTCCTCAGCTCATCCTCAGTGGTAAAGACATCCTGACATTAGTGTTGCAGAAAATTACTGCTGAAGAAGTCAAACTGAATGAAGCTTCAGTTTGTCACAAACATCCAGCAGAAATCATGAGAAAAATGAGTCAACATGAGAACTGATGATACTTTAGTCCTCTGACTTTCAGCCTGCTGTCTTGTACTGAATCAGAGATGTGACATGACTCACTTTGTGGATCAGTGCAGAGCGTCGTTCATCCACAGAGTGTTTCTCTGAGGAGAAAAGTGCTCAAAGTCACTCATGACAAACACATTTAACAACTAACTGACAATTATTCAGGAAATATGACTTTGGAAAAATGGACAATATGCAGAATTACACTGAAACCTCCTCAGCAATAATAAACAGTATGAAGGAGTCATTTTTACTCCTCCTCACAAAGTATTTGGATTTAATCTGGTCTCATTTTTATGTATTTATTGAAGTAGATTTTTCCAGAACAGCCATAAAATATGTTTTAAAGATGTGTTTTTTTGTCTTTATTACAAATATTATTTATAAAGTCAAAGAAGACTTTAGTCAGACGTTTATGAGACATGAAAACAGTTTTATGACTTTAATGAGTTTTGATTTTGTTGTCTTACTTCGAGGCAGTGAGCTGCAGTCTGACAGCCTCTGAGCCAGATCAGTCCTCTTCATCTTCTTTAAGACCTCCATGGTCTTCTCCACTGACTGTTGGCCGTAAGTCTGCACCATCATAAACACTGTGTCCTGCAGGTTTGTCCTCATATACCACACCCATGTGAAGTCTGAGTCATATTTGCGATGAATTTGTGGCAGGTTCTTATTGAACTCCCTGAGCTCCGGCTCATTGAGACCATCCAGAGTTTCCAGCAGCAGCTCAATAACAGACTCCATCGTTTCTACCTGGAAAATTCAAAGAAAATGTTCATGAGATAAATGTGACATTTCTCACTTTCAGGTTTGTTTGTTTTCTCATCAACACTTTACAAATGTAGATGTGTTTAGATGACATCATCCATCACATAAGGTGATGATGTCATTGGTCATATTTGTCACAATGATCACAAACAGCTGATTAACAATTATTCTGCTTCTGTTAACAAGTTCAGGACTTTTCTGACCTGCTGCAGACCTACCTCACTGCACACGCTCAACTTATCAAACTTTGACTTTTCCAATCAAAATCAAATCATTTGTTTCTATTGAAGATTTCTATCCTGTGTTTATGAAATGAAAGCTGGATGATCTGAAGTCAGACAGATGTGACATGACTCACTTTGTGGATCAGTGCAGGCCAACGTTCATCCTCAGAGTGTTTCTCTGACAGAAAAGAAAGATTAAAAGCTTCATTCATGACTGATTTAACATCAGTGTTAATAATCAGACACTTTGAAATAACTGATGCTTTGATTTCATTCTGATGATCCTTGTAAGTTGGATTAATAACAACATTAAACTTGTTAACATGAAGTCATATTTGATGGGAAACTATCAACGTGTGAGGAAATGATCCAGTTCTGTTTCATTCAGTAATTCTTCTTCTTCATCATCTTCTTCATCGTCATATCAATGAGTGTATTTATTGATTCATGTGTTTTCTGGACACTGACCTTTCTCTGTTTCCTCCACATCAAATCCTTCAGCTGATGATCCTGCAGCTGCAACACATTGAATACAAACTGTAACTACATGATACAGACACTGTGTGTGTCCTTTATGTGTGCTCATCCTGAGTATAACACTGAGTCCTGACAATAAAAAGCTTTAATATTTCACTTTCAGCTGTGCTGACTGAAGGCAGGAGGAGGCCATAGTTACACAATCACAGAGAAATCACTGAAAAGACTTTGAATCATTTACCTCATACAGGTCGTCTGTCTCCATAGTGGAGTTTCAATCAAAGCTAACATAAAGATCCATTTACAACACAAGACTGATATTAATGAGCTCAAAATGCAAAAAACAAAGAAAAATATTTTCAAAGGAAAGAAGTTCAAAGAGCTTTAAAACAACATTTACTAAAGAAAGTCACTGATTCAATAAGCTGAATATTTTTACTTTAAACATTGAAATATGAAAACAAATCTGTTTAATTTTACTGTGTTTGTACAACCTGAATGTGTTCATTTATCAACGTCTGTCCAAAATAAATCAGAGGAAACAAATTCTTTCATTTATAAATGATAATAAAGTTTATATTATGCAGTTCTTGTTGTGAGTTTCTCTGATTTAATTCTTTAAATTAATTTTTACTGTAAGGTGTAATATCATATTTAATAATAATAATGGATTGCATTTATATAGCGTTTTTCTAGGCACCCAAAGCGCTTTACAATGCCACTATTCATTCACTCTCACATTCACACACTGGTGGAGGCAGCTACAGTTGTAGCCACAGCTGCCCTGGGGCAGACTGACAGAAGCCAGGCTGCCATATCGCGCCATCGCCCCCTCTGGCCAACACCAGTAGGTGGTAGGTGAAGTTTCTTGCCCAAGGACACAACGACCAGGACAGAGAGCCCGGGGATCGAACCGGCTACAGGTTACAGATACGCTTCCCAACGCTTCCCTGAGCCACGGTCGCCCCAAATTAAAATAGGGGCGATTAAAATAGTGTGGAAGTACTTTAAAATCCTTCCACACACAGTTAAGAATAATCACACCATATCTGATGTATGGATTTGTCTATTAATTTATGCAGCTTATGATTATTGTACAGCTGTCCTTCTTGGCCAGGACACTCTTGTAAAACAGATTTTTAATGTCACAAGTTTATTTTTTTCTGGTTAAATAAACTTTAATGAATAAATAAAATGTATTAAAGTTATTACAGACACTCTGACAGATTATTTCCTCTTACCTTTGAGTCCTGAGCTGCTCTCTGACAGCCTCTGCACCAGATCAGTTCTCTGCATGTCTGTTAAAACCTCCCTGATCACCTCCACAGACTGATGACCAAGTTTATCAATCATATCATTCACTATTCTTCTTCTGTCATCACTCAGTTCGATTTGTGGAAGACTCTTCTGAAACCAAGTGAACTGCAGTAACCTCCTGAACTGCTTGAGATCCTGATCACTCAAATCCTCCAGTGTTTCTAGAAGCACATCTGTAACAGCTGCCATTGTTGCAACCTGGAACATTCAAAGCAAACATTCATAAAGAAAAAATGTTTCCTCACTGAGAAAATTACAGATTTATGTTTTTGTAGCTGTTTTAAACTTTGAATGTTTTCAATGTTTTCTCTGAAACACTTTGTTTTCTTTTATTATCTTATTTATTAAGATGTAGTTATGTAAACACACTTTTTAATAATCTTTGATTTTAAATCTAAAAACATTTCTGTGACAACTGTTTAATCTAAATGATGAAATTATGATTTTCAAACTGCATCTTATTGAATCAAAGCTGAACTCTGCAGAGTCAGACAGATGAGACGTTACTCACTTTATGGATCAGTGCAGACAGATGTTCATCCAGATGTTTGTCTGAAAAAAGAGAAATTAACAGAAATGGAAATAAGTGTTTAATAAAAGCTAATCGAGCTTTAAAAAAATACACAGAGATCAACAAAACAAAGTTACATTTAAACCTGCTGAACATCATTTTCTGCTCGTCAACAATGCTCTCTTTGCTCTGTAAATCTGACTGTTTCTAATATGAACTGAAGCAGAAACACTTTTATCATTTTAACATGTTTTGTCTTTATCTTACTTTGAGCTTCTGAGCTGCTGTCTGTCAGCCTCTGAGCCAGATCAGTCCTCTTCATCTCCTTTAAAACCTCCACGATCTTCTCCACTGACTGTTGGCCAAAAGTCCTCACCATCAAAAACACCAGGTCCTGCACGTCCTGCATATAACCATGTCCGACAGGACCTGACATCTCAGACAGACTCATGGAGCTCATTGAGCCACGTTTTCTTCTCAGGATCTGGATGAAGTCTCTGACCTCGCTGCCTCTCAGATCAGCCAGTGTCTCCAAAAGCAGCTCAATAAGAGACTCCATCGTTTCCACCTGGTAAAAACAGAGGTCACATGACAGCGATGCACCATTCAAATGTCTGCTTGATTTTTAATCAACAGAAACATTTTAGTGTGCTAAAAATAAATTCATGTTTGAATCCAATTCCTTCTAAAAACCTGAAAAGATGACCTTTGACCTTCAGACATAAAGCTGCGTCTTTTTAAGGTCATGACCGGTCGACCAGATGTAGAGCAGAAAATAACCTCCATGAACATCTGGTGCTCGGTGGGTACCTGCTTGGATTGGTTTTTTATTTCTTGGCTCATTTTTTCCTCTTTTTGAAGGATTTAATTTTCATGAACAGGTTTGTGACTCTGTTTTACTGCCTGACTGTAACTCTGTCAAAGACTGAGCTACAAAAACTGCAGTGAGTCTCCTGATTTTACAAACAGAGGGGAGCTTTAACTGCTCGCATCTTTACTGATAAACAGAAAGACTTGAATTTAATCTGCTTTTAAAATGTAAATAAGGTTTAATATTTCTATACCAATCATGTATAAAACTCATGTGTACATGACAAAGCTGCAGCTTGAATCTCATGTGTATGATTTGTGTTTAAGATGAAGATCATTTTCAGTCTTCATCTACTGAATCAAAGCTGAACTGTGTGAAGTCGACTGATGTGACGTTACTCACTCTCTGGCTCAGTGGAGGAAACTGTTTGTCTGAGGAGAAAAGAAAGAGAAAAAGTCAGATTAGAAACTGTTTTATCATCAGGCTTTATGAGGATTTAGAACATAAAAGATTTCACATCAAAGTGACACTTAAACCTCGTTAACTCGTTAATAATGATTTTAGAGAGAGGCCTAACTTTGTGAATGAGAGCACACACAGGATACTCTGATCACTTTTATGTGTGTGTGTATATACTCACACACATATATAAATATACACTACATGTCTTTGAACGTGACGGGAGTCGACTCCACACCGGGGCGTTTCTGTCCAATGAGGGTCCCAGGCTGCCTCTCCCATGCTAACCAACCGTAACTTGGAGTGAGAGACATAAATATGAAGCCATACCAGCTGGGACGTCACCCAGGTGGCATAGTGGCTCCAGCAGATCCCAGGAAAACATTAGAGATCTCTGTCCAGAAGAGCGCTGTCAGAGTTTTACCCCTGATACTGCTGGATAAACAGAAACTCACTCAGGAACGAGGTCACACACAGCTCAAGTTTTCACTCGCGAGAGGGAAGCAGTTGATCTCCAACCCACTTCAACTTGCTTCCCCCTGCAGGTCGTTTTTATTGTTTACACACATGACTATTCATAAAGCTCGTTGCTGTATTAACTAAGACAAATTACTATATATGGTTAGAAAGTGTGTTGTGCAAGCGTGGTTATACAGTGTGAGTGGTTATATGATGTGAGTGCAGCCCTCCCAGGATGATGTCAGTATCTTGTCCCGCCAGGTGGCTTCCTTCACTGCGTACAGTCTGTTCTTCTCAAAGCTACTTGTTCCCTTTATGGAGGTCGTGCAAATACTCATATTTGTGGGTTACATAGCGAGCAAATAAAACGCAGCTTCTCAAGACTCCCAGGGTTTTCCCTGTGGATTATGTAGCTTTGAGAAGATATGGGATCTATGAAGGAATCCTGCGTTTCAGATTGTTTCCATGAAGGTGGAACACATCTTCATGCTGGAAGTGCCTCTCTCACCACCAACCTCTCCCCCAAAGATAAGAACATAATCAGCATTAGCTTGGAGTGCGTTAATTAAGTTAATAACTAAAATTAAACGTAAACTATTAATTACAATTGATGTGATTTGATTATTCTTTTTACATTATTTTAGTTTTTCACTTTTTCTTTGCTCCTGCCAAGTGGATTTACTCAAATCTGTTGCAATTAAAATCGAAACTGTGGACATACAAAAAAGGTATAAATATGAGTATTAATCTATATTAGTCCAAATAGCTCTAATAGGTTGTTGCAGCCTTTCCAAGTCATTTCTTCCCCTGGGGCCGATTGAGAGATAGGCTGCCACAATAGGTGTGACTGATAACAGAATAAAATAGAATAGAATAGAATAGAATAGAATAGAACAGAATAGAATAGAATAGACCATTATTTTCCCATGAATTAGAAATTTGGGTGTTACACAGCTCATATATATATATGAGCAACTGAAGTTCGTATATACAGGTAACAATGAACAGAAATATGTATAAAAGTGTACAGAGAAATGTACAAGAATGTTTGTGTGTGTGTGTGTGTGTGTGTGTGTGAGATTCTGGTGAAATGCACAGTGAACAAACAAGCTGATGAGTAAGATAACCTGCTGAGAATGACCTACAGTAGCGCTCCTTCCTACGCTGTGAGTGTAAAAGTGTCATGAACCGGCTGTGTGGAGGCAGATGAGGACCCAAATGCAAAACTCACAGAGGCAGGAACTGAACTCAAAATCACTGCTTTTTTGCAGGTTTCACAAAGGAACAGAACTAAACTGGGAATACTAACAGAAGACCGTGGGAACACAGAAAGACACACAGGTTCGGGGAGAAGACATTGACGACGCAACACTGGACTGAGGGAGACATGCACATAAATACACAGAAAGCTAACGAGGGACGTAGGAGCACACAGGGAACACAGCTGACACTAATAGTAACAATGAGACAGGGAAAGAGCAAACACAACATGACGTACACTGACGAGAGACTGTCAAAGTAAAACAGGAAGTACACGACAGACACAGAGACCCAGACTAGACACTGAACAGAGGGAACACTGAGTACAGGGACAAGAGCAACATGAGACACTACTGACTGGGGAACGAGAAGGCAAACAGGAGGACAGAAGTAAACTACACAGAACATGGGGGTACAGGGACCCAAACCTAAGCAGTAGAACTCTCAATCCAAGGAGAACAGAAGAGCTAGAAGTACAAACTGAAACCCAAACCACAATCATCCTAAGAAAACAAAAGTACAAAACTCAAAACACTGGCACACCGACCCAGAACTGTGACAGTGGGAGGTGCTGTCCATGATGAACGTTAGGTTAGACAACATCCTCTCCTCAAAACATCCTCAATGGACTTCAGCGGACAGTCCTGGACAGTCCTGGCCCTTTGGACCAGAGATTAGAGAGATTTGACCTGCAAGGCTACTCAGGTTTCTTCATATCAGGGAAAGTAGGGCAGACACTTGCATGTCAAGGCAGTGAGGCTGGACCAGTCCCCTCACCTACATCGGCTCCAGAACCCTGCATTATCTACTGGATAAGACTCAGAGGATCAGCCAGACATGTCTAGATCTGTCCAGCAGCCTCCTCCTGGTAGGACATTCCCAGATAGACTTAAAGGAAACTCATTTCTGTTTGTATCCATAATCTCATTCTTTCAGTCCTCAGAGCTTGTGACCATATGCATGGGCAGGAACATAGCTCCACCTACAAATCTAAAACATCAGGGCCCGCTCTCTCCTCACCAGGGCAGATCAGCAGAGCATCCACATCACTGCAAACACAGCACTAATCTATCTGTCAATCTCCTGCTCCACTCTCCCCTCCCCTGTGAACGACACCCTTAGATACTTAAACTCCTCCAAATGGGGAACTCGTCCGTGACCTGGAGTGAGCACTCCACCCTTTACCAGCTGAGAACCATGGCCTAAAACTTGGAGGTGCTACTTTCACCCACTTGTTGCACATTCAGATTCAAACTGCCCCAGTGAGAGCTGGAGGTCGTGACTCCATGAAGCGCTTTGTCTCTCCAAAGCGTGCTGCACATGCGTGTCTGTTACATGCTTCCTTGATATGGGTTGCGTGACCAGAGAACTCCAGCTCTCTCAGGTACAGTAGATGCAGCTACGTCTCCAACATTCTGATAACTTCTAGTCTGGAAAGTTCCCCATCCAGACGATGAAGGCAGTGATGGCATCTGAGTCTTTCTTCTTTATAAACACTGACAGATACTAGATACTGTGTGTTACTTTAATTTAGGACCAGCTGCAACTGAATAAATTCACAATACAGTTAATAAGTCCCATTTATTAAAACTGTAAAGGTGGAATTGTTTGACTGGAGTCCTCTGACACCTACAAACATTTGTATTTTTAAAGAAGCACCAATCAAAGCAGAAATAGAAAATTGTGTGAAACATTAGCAACAAACTAACAAATTCATTAAAAATTTAAATGATAGAAAAAAACACATCTGTGAGGTATGACAAAAATCTACCACAGACTTCAGTCAGTATGATGAGGGTTAATAGTGACATAATTATAACCTGTAGAGCTGCTTGAAGACTTTCCAACCATGTTGAATGATGTTGGATGTTTTTGTTCTGATCTGATCAAAATACTGTAACTGAGCTTGTGTAACAGTGTTTATGTTGTGTGTGATTCCATAATAACCACAATGGATTTGTGATGTTTATTGGCTCAATGGCGCCCTCTCTCAGAGGCAGTGGATCACTGCACTGTGTGGGATCATTAGGTATCAGCATGTGTGCGACCACTATACAGTGCATGTGACCTCTGTAACTGTCTAACTGTTAATAAGAAGAGTTTCAGTGGTTTGTTGTAATTGTGAAGTCCTGAAACAGTCACATAATATCACTGCACACCGGCTATAAGCTGCTATTATTTTGTAGTGTGCTGTGTTTGAGCCTCCTGTAATGAGCCAACCTGCCTGACCTGCACATATTCTGCTCTAATCCACGTTATAAAAAGCAGCACGAAAATATAAACGTCTTTGTTCATCATTCACTACACAACACAGAGTCAAGAGATTTTTCTATCAGTCAGCACCTGGTTTCATATGAATGTGATAAACTATGTGCAGTATTCTCACATATTTAAGTCTTTGTTGTCTTATTTGTGGTTCCTGAGGTGATACCTGATAATCTCTGCACCAGATCAGTCCTGTTCATCTTCATTAAAGCCTTTCTGGTCTCCTCCACACTCTCTCCTCTGTACGTCTCCTCCATCAGCTTCACTACATCCTGTGTGTTTGTTGTTTTCAGTCGGCCCCTTGGCTTGGATGATAGATCTTTCTCCAGTTCAGTGAGTGACTTGAACTCAGCAAAGTCCTCTGGACTCAACTGGTTCAGTGTTTCAATGAGCAGCTTCTTAGTCGTCATAGTTACCACCTGGAAAATGAAGGAATCATATTATACATGAAGGACAGCATGTCTGCTGTTTGTTCATTTGATGAATGGAAACGGACTGCTTTGTATTTCACTAATGACAACATTACTGACATGGACGTTTGTTACTTTTCCATCACCCAAATGAAAACTGTGATTGGACGTGAACGTCAAACATCAGCTTGAACCTTGAATAAAATTGAGAGGATTCGTTTTTGTCCCCAAAAGGACGTTGAGTTGTTTCTAAATAGCTGCTGAAAAAGTTACACTGTGAAGTAATAAATGAACCAGTACAATGTCTTGATGCATTCTCAATCATCCAGGAAAGTAAATCTCCAAGCTAGTGGAGCTGATCACAGCCACAGAAACAGCAATTCGTAACAACAATATTGCAGAAGTGGAAGCAGAGCAACTACGGACGAAAGTTTCGGCCTGTCTCAGCAATGCAAAGCCCCCAGCATCCAACATCACCATGGAGGAGAGGAAGGCACTCACATCACTTAGTGATGACAACAACATTATCCTCCTTCCGGCAGACAAGGGTAGGTGCACAGTATTGCTAAACCAGAAAGACTATCATGAGAAGATCTTGTCACTACTCAGTGATGAAAATACTTATGAGCCCCTGAAACGAGACCCAGGAAGTGGCTACAGCAAGAGGGCGATAGACTGTCTGAAGCAGTTAGAACAGGACAAGGCTGTTGACCGGACCTCATACCACAGGCTGTACCCAGGGGAGTCTACACCAAACCTGTACGGTTTACCAAAAATACATAAACAGGGTGCACCTTTAAGACCGATTGTCTGCAGTTTCACCCATCGTGGCCAATTTGTACATGGAAGAAGTGGAAAAGAGGGCTTTGCTATCCTACCCTGGAACACCACCAAGCCATTGGTTCAGATATGTGGATGACACCTGGGTGAAAATGAAATCCCAGGACGTACTACATTTCACGGATCACATTAACTTGGTGGACCGACACATCAAATTCACCAGGGAGGATATGAAAAGTGGCAGGTTAGCCTTCTTAGACTGTGAGATTTCCATCAGTAATGGGGGACATCTAAAAGATGACGTGTACCATAAACCTACACATACGGATCAGTATCTAAGGTTTGACTCTCGTCATCCACTGGAGCACAAACTGGGAGTCATCAGGACGCTACAACACAGAGCGAACACCATCCCCACTGACACAGCGGCCAGGGAGGCAGAAGAACAGCACATCAAGAAGGCCCTGAGTGGTCTTTGATCAGTGGGTTTTGGTCAGTGGTTGTTGATCAATGGTCATGAGAATTTGCATAATTATGATTAAGGAACTGACCTCCCAGCCTATTGTTCCTTCACTGGGCTGGTTTCAGTCATTATGCAAATGTACTGTTTATAAGATTTGGGGAAACCTGCAGTCAGCTGAGACTGAAGAAGTCACTCGGATGAGTGACGAAACGTTTCTCCCACAAAACGCTACGTCCAGATGAACAGAATCAGCTTTTGGAGAACCAGTACAATGCACAACAGTCTCATTTTCTCCAGTAAAATTAATTATCCATCCCTGGTTTGTACAAACTTTACAAATTAAAAATCTCAATTCGAACTGGTCAGAAACACACAATAAACAAACTGTTATTTGTTTATTGTAAAAAAAAAACACAAACCTTTAAATAACATTTATAATAATTATTGTGTCATTATATCTGTGACTCTGACATTCACCATCCAGGAAGCAGAGTGTGTGAGGAAGATCTGGTGTCTGATGAAGATGAGAGATTAAGCTGCGCACAGATAACTTTAACCCTAGAATACTATCGCTATTTGATTTTCAACATTTACATGATTTCTCTCTCCTGCAGCTGTTAGTGTGTCGAGGAGACTGTGCCTTCACCAGGGAAGTCTCAAATGTCCCAGGAATGGGTGGACCAAAGACCAGCTTTCCAGTGTCATTATCTTTTTTAGGAATTTTGTTGTTCTTTGCCCTAATTTTTCTGTGATTTTGGAGCATTATTTTAGGGTCCCCACATGACACTTTTTTCATTTTGTTAGACATGGCACAGTTGAAAGTAAAAGAAGACAACTCTAATTTGTCATGTGTTGTCAAATTTTGATATATTTTGATGACAAGTACTTTTTGTTGGTCATATTATATCGGGTAAAAATCACCCGGCATTAGTGATTGTGTTGCTGTTTATAGCGATAGCGTTCTAGGGTTAAGATCACGTGACTATCGTGGCCTTTTGAAACCGCTACAACCAGAACTCTACCGTGACCGAGACCTCCGGTTCTTTCCCACAGAGCTCTGCACCTCTGCTTCAAACCAGCAACAGTCACATGATCTAATATAACTTATTATTGTATCTCATTCCCTGTTACACACACATGAAAACAACTCCAACAAGGAAGCAGAACTACGAACGTGAACTTCCAGGAGGAAGCAGAACTTAATGCCGCGCTTACCTTCAATACTTCATGTAAAATGTGAACACCAGGAATCACTGCTGATGGAAAATCATTCTTCAGTGTTTGTGAAGCAGCTTAGTGTGAGGCACTGTTCTCCCGCTGCTTTCTCTCACTTTCTGTAAACGCTGAGGCGGAAAAACTCCCGCTTTTCTGCGTCTCTCTCCTCCCAGCTGTCAGCCCGCCTGAATAACGGAGGCGCCTTGATGCTAGTGATGGGTTGTTCGCGAACGAAATGGCTCTTAGAGCCGGCTCTTTGACGTGAACGACGCGAGCCGGCTCCTTATCGCGAGCCGTCACGTGGGGTTTTTTTTTTTTTTTCTTTCTCTCAGCCTCTCTCTCGCCCTTTTTTCCGCTTCACTCTGCACGCGAGCCTTGTGCTTTATGCTGGGCAGAGGGGGGAGGGGCGGTAGTTACACTCAGTAGCACAGGAACAGAGCCAGAGAGAGAGAAAGAGAGGCAGGGACAACAACATTAGAAAGGTATAGTAATCATCCACAACTATTTTCGGTTGCAGATGATAAAGGATTGAGAAAGTTTATTCATGCAGGTCCATGTGACAGAGAATATGCATGTTCTTTTAGTTTTCATATTATAATTTATATTTAATTGTGTTGTGGTTTGCAGTGTTTTGTGTTCTTTTCACTTTAAATTTGTGAAAGGAAAAAGCTGAAAATTTAAATAGTTAAAACTTGAAATGTGAATAGTTGATTTTTGTATTATATGATTTATTTATTACATTTTATGTGGAGTGAATAAATAAAAGTATATTTACGGTGGCCCCTAGAGACAAAGCACATACAAACTTCAAATCACGTACGAACTCTGAAGCATGTACAAACTCCAAAACACGTAAAAACTCCAAAACACGTAAAAACACGTACAAACTCCGAAGCACGTAAAAACTCAGAAGTATTTAAAAACTCAGAAGCACATAAAAACTCAAAACACGTACAAAAGACAACAGAAGTGCTCCAGGATGCTGGGCGCAGTGTTGAGCCTTTGTTATCTTGTGGCTACACAAGCCAGCAAGTACCAACGACCGGATTTGGTGTGTGGTAATAACAGGTAAATTAACTTTTTTTTAAATTATTTGAATATATATATGAGTGCCTGTGTATAAATACACAAACAATACACACATGCTTTCAATTGTGTAATTTAAGTGATCTAGTAGCTCTGCTTTGGAAGTTCAGTTCATGCTAGAAATGTGTTTTGGAGTTTGTACGTGTTTTGTCTCTAGGGGCCACCGCATATATTTATATATAAACATATATAAATAAAACCACTTTTTTTTACGTTAGTAATTCCTTTTGTGCATAATTTTATATTATTGTTAATAATAAATTAATTAAAGCAACAAAACAACCTGAAGAGCCGGGTCGGAGCCGAAAGAGCCGGCTCTTTTTAGTGAGCCGAACCTAAAGAGCCGGATCTCTAAAAAGAGCCGGAAATCCCATCACTACTTGATGCCACTGTTGTTCTAATTTTGCGCCATAGAAATAAACAGAGTTGAAATAGATGTTACCGCCTTTCCATCAACGTTACCTTTGGCTCAGGTATGAGTAGAAAGAGTGACGTCGTGTCTCTTTAATCAGTCTCTGCATCTCCAAAGCAACAACGGATACACCGAGTTTAATAAATACTGAATCCGTTAATAATAATAAAAAGTTCCATAATCCAAAGTAAGCATCACATTCACATGCTCACTAGAGCTACTTATGTCTGACTGAACACTCTTAAGCTGTAATTTACCACAGACGGTATAAATCTTTAATACTGTGTGTTTCTGTTATTCACTAAACATCTGTCAACGATCAGGAAGACCTGCAGTCTCCTGGAGAGCCAACAGGGGGCGAAACCAACCCACTGAATTAACAATGGTACAGGGAGGGACGCTGGTTTGAGGGCGGAGTCCTTCACTCTATCGTCAGTGGAAACATTATTGCTGCAGACTCCACATTAACACTGTGAGAAGCATCCAGTTTCAAAGATGCTTCGTCTGTTTCATCGTGTTTAATGTTCAAGATGAGGATGATTTACAGCCTGAATCTACTGAATGAAAGCTGAGTTAGAGTCACACTCACTCTCTTCAACAGTGCAGCTCCATGTTCATCCACAGAGTGTTTCTCTGAGGAGGAAAGACATTTACCATCAACTCTGAGGATTCAAACATCATCACACATCCAAGTAGAATCAGCCTTCAGACGACACAGATGATTTAAAAGAGAAAATCATGTGAAACTAAATAAAATGACATAAGAACCCAACAAAGAAACCCTCCATCCTGTCCAACCAAAGTAACTGGGGGTTCCCAGCTGTGATAATGAGAGAGGGTACACCTGTCCACCTCAGGTTTTAAACAGACAGACAACCTTTCACACCCACATTTAATTTAGAACCAGCAATAAAGCCAACAAGCATGTGTTTGGACTGGAAACCAGAGCACTCTGAGGAAAAGCATGCAGGCACAGGGAGAACATGCAAACTCCACACAGAAAGGTTCCAGCCAATCAGGAGGCTCAAACACACAACCTTCATGCTGTGAGGACACAGTGCTAACCACTGCACCACCATGACACCACCAACACAAAAACCTGTTGATGACACAGAGTTTACACTCATGCATGTTGGTCTTACCTCTGGATGCTGAGCTGCTCTCTGGTAACTTCTGCACCAGATCAGTTCTGTTCATGTGCATGAAAACTTCTCTGGTCACCTCCACAGACTGATGACCAAGTTCATCCACCATCAGATTCACTACATCTGCTCTGGTTGATGATGGACTCTGTGATTTGTATGACAGACTCATCCAAAGAAAAATTGACTTCAGGAATCTCTTGAACTCCTCGAGCTTGGAATTCCTCAAATCATTCGAAGCTTCCAAAAGCAGTTGTTTCACAGCTGCCACCATTGCCACCTGGAAAAGTCATTCAATTTGCAGGACATTTATTTATTTATCCATTTTATCCAAATAAGTTCAGTATGATTTCTCATAATCACAAAAAAGCAGAAATCATGAGAAAAATGACTCAACATGAGAACTGATGATACTTTAGTCCTCTGACTTTCAGCCTGCTGTCTTGTACTGAATCAGAGATGTGACATGACTCACTTTGTGGATCAGTGCAGAGCGTCGTTCGTCCACAGAGTGTTTCTCTGAGGAGAAAAGTGCTCAAAGTCACTCCCAAGAGACTTACTTACCAACTGACAGTTGTATAATCTTCAACATTACATTTAAAGCTCAACTATGATAGACACTGTTTGTGTTATTCAGTCTCTCAGACTGAAGGAGTCACTTTTTGTCATTTTTTGTTCCTTGAACACTCATAAATTCTGATTTGGACAACAATCTGTCTTTTCTCTACAATATTTTTATGAAAGACAAAAACTTTACTTATGAGACATCTTAACCACCATAGTTCATTTAACTTATTTCATCTTTGTTGTCTTACTTTTGGGTTCTGGGCTGCAGTCTGACGGCCTCTGAGCCAGATCAGCCCCCTTCATCTCGTTTAAACCCTCCATGGTCTCCTCCACTGACCGCTCACCGTAAGTCAGGACCATGAAAAACACCGTGTCCTGCAGGTCTGTCCTCATGTAGATGATTCTTTGGATGTCTGACTAATGTTTGTAATGAATTTTACGCAGGACTTCCTTGAAAACCTCAAGTTCCCAGTAACTCAGACCAGCCAGGGTTTCCAAAATCAGCTCAATAACAGACGCCAACGTTTCTACCTGAGAAAAAAAAGGTAAATGCGACTTTTCTCCAGGTTTTTTTTCTATCTCATCAACGTCTCATAAATGTTTAGATTACACCAGACACAGTTACAAGCAAATGATGTAAGTGATAATTACACACCTGATTAACATTTATTCCAACCTGATGAATTTAATCTTTCTGTTTATCTTTTCTACATGTAGGAGTTTTTTAAACTGAACATGTTCAGTGAACGCTGCATCATTTAAATACAGTCATAGGTGATATTACTCACTTTCTGGCTCAGCGCAGCCCAGCATTTATCCACAAAGTTTCTCTGGGAGAAATATTACAATATCATGGTTACCATGAGAAAAGAAAGTGTAGTATCCCCACAGCAGACTCGTCCACAGTTTAATGCTTTTCAGCACAATCTTTATTCATACTTACACTCGGTTGCTGTTACAAACACACACAGCTGCAGCTTTTCAGCCGCCACAACAACAACTCTCAGGATCAGGTACAGATTTTAAAGCTGATGCTGGCAAAGTTAGAAAGGTGCCGGCTGTGAACAACACCTCATCTATCTATTACTTCATTTGCTCTCTTTAGGCTCCACAATGATTGTCTGTCTAGTGTCTGTCGTCCACCTTAAATCCATTCATAACTTATTTAACGTCAGGGTTAATGATCAGAAAACAATTAAGTGTGTAAGGAAAGAATTTAGTCGTTTGTAATCTTAATATTAATGTCTGTGTTTTATTTAACAATATCTATTATTAAACACTTCAGTGAAGAAAATCCTCCTGCCTTCTTTCAGGAAGACAAAAAAACTTCCATTGTTCAGTTTTTGTGACTTGGTTCAAAGATTTTGAATCAACTCTTGATAATTTTTTTTATTAGGGATAATTATTCTCTTACCTTTGAGTCCTGAGCTGCTCTCTGACAGCCTCTGCACCAGATCAGTTCTCTGCATGTCCCTGAAAACATCAATGGTTACCTCCACAGACTGTTGGCCACATGTTTGCACCATCGCGTTCACTATATGTTTTCTGTTTGTACTCGGTGGGAATTGTGGAAGGCCCCTCTGAAAACATGTGAACTGCAGGAACCACATGAACTCCTTGAGACCCTGATCACTCAAATCCTCCCGTGTTTCTAGAAGCAGATCTTTAACAGCTGCCATTGTTGCAACCTGGAAAATTCAAACATTCATAAAGAAAAATTAAATATTAATGTTTCTGTTGCTGTTTTAAATATTAAAACTAATTGAAATCACGTTTTCTCAAAAAAATTTAATATAAAAAAGCCAACATTTATAAAGAAAATATATCATTTCCACACTAAGACATTTTTTGGCATTTCTATGATAATGTATGATTTTCACCTAAAACACTCAGACACTGTGCAAACGAGCTGGCCCCAGTGTTTTCTGGCATTTTCAACTCCTCACTGCAGGCATGTCATGTGCCTGCCTGCTTCAAGTCCTCTACCAT